GGTCCTTTTCTGTACAAATATATTACAGTTTACCCAAATCAGATTGAGAGATCTAAATACTAATAAAAATACAATTTTAAAAACTATCATTGTGATCTCTTTCAGGTCATGTACTTAAAAATGTTATGCTAGTGGTTCTCAACCTTTTGGCACTAGGGACTGGTTTTTCATGGAAAACAAATTTTTGCATAGATGGGGGCTGTGGGTGGAAACAGTTGGTTTGGGATGATTCAAGTCCATTACCTCTCTGCCTCAGAGAGCCACCACACGCAGTTTTCAGTAGGGTTCTCCTATGAGAACCTAACGCAGCCACGGATGTGACAGAAGACAGAATTCGAGCAGCGATGCCGGTGATTGGGAGAGGCTATAAATACAAATGAAGTTTAGTCACCCACTGCTCACCGGTGGGGACAGCAGTGTTATACAAGCCACAGTGTGGCATTTTTGGCAATTGGTTATCAGTTAACACGTTTTTTATACCCTAGTTTATTATAATCTGATTTTCTTGATATGAGGCCAATTAAGTGAACATATCTGTGCACATTCTCTTATTAAACAGAAACTATCCCTGTGCCTGTTCCCATCTTCCAACATACACACTAGCTCTGAATGTGTGATACAATGTGTTGTATCCCCTAGAGACATCTCCCATCTGCCCACCCCCGACTCCTGGATTATTTTAATATATACTTCAAATGTAATAACAATTTGTTATAATGTTAATTATATAACATTTGTGAAGCCAGTATATGAGAGAAAAACCCTAAAACCAAAATGTTTAGTGTATATTAAACATTGGTCAGAGGGAAGGAGCTGCGACATAGTAGAGAACAATGGTATCATCTTATAGCAATACCTGATCCGTGCTATAGATTTAGAGTACTCTGGAAAGTAATACTCTATAAAATAAAATGATTTTAAAAAATACAAAAAGTATTACATGTATAAAAAGTTGAAAGGGGCAAAAGTAACACAAAAATTCAACTTTAAAAAATTAATGCTAAAACCAAGAAAAGAGCTCCCAGACCTCTTGAAGAACAGTTCTCAACTCTTCCATTCCCCAAATTAGACCCATGGGTAGCAGAAGGCATACTGTTAATTAATGGTAGAAAACTCATTTGGGGAAGTTCTATTTTGTCTTTATCCTTAAAATTATGCCATCTACAGACTTTGAAACATTAAAACAAAAAAAAATTAGGAAAATGATTGATATAAATGATATGCATTTAAAAAGACCATTTCTAGTTTCTTTGAATGAATCTAAGCCCCCTAAATTATACTATGTATCCTAGAACACTGAAATAATCTGATGTAATAATTCATGACCTTGCACAGTAAATCTCTGAATCAAGATGATTAGGTTAAGGAATATACAGATAGACACAAGCTTCGCAAAGACAAGAACTCACTAATATTGTTCTCTGGCATATCCACAATGTCAAGCACAATGGCTGGCATGTATCAATGGTTTGACAAATGTCCCTGACCAAACTCCAAAATCTATTTTTAAATTTCTTGATGGATAGAAAAGGAAGCAGTGACCACTAGGAGGCAGCATCGACTCATGAAAACCAAGTAAGTCCATGCCACATATTGATAATTTCTTACTACAAAGAGGAATGAAGATCACATCAAAGTATTTCAAAACTTCACAAGAATAATCCCTATAAACAGAATGGAATATAAATACTAGATCTCCCACAGTTAAGTGAATTTATTGCTAGTTGAATGAACACACTGTGCCACTTAAATTGACCTGGATCGTCCTGATCATGCCTTATCAAAATTATGCCAGCCTTACATGTAAACAGAAAACAATTTTATCAAATTTGCTCATAACCCAAAAATTGAAATTAACATCTCAAAAAAAAAAATAAAATGAAATTCAAAATAGCTAAAGTAGTAACTATACAAATTCAGAACGGAGAGGTTCCTATGTGCATATAAAAGACCTGAGTTTTCATTTTCAAACTCCAGTGTGAGAAGCATGATTGCCGTAAAAACAAATTTAATTTTGTTGCATATTAGGTAAAATATTACAAACTTATACATAACTTCCACATAATCTGACTTCTTCAAAATGTATATTAAATATATTCAATTATCTTGTAGCAATAACGGTAATTAGTGCAACAGACTGAAAAACTAAGGTGATAGAAGGCCCATGTTTTTGACTTTTCTACATTGGCCTTTGAATACCTAGAATAGCTATTTACCTAAGGTAATTGTAATGAAAATGGTTCACATTGCAGCTTTGGAAACAGACTTAGATCATCTTAGTATTTCTCAGACTTCTGATAGAAATGCTTGATAGATTTTGAGACTAGATTTTCTGTTGACAGGCAGTATTGCATAAGGACAATGATAAATGTACTGAGTTCTACCTCTTGTAGGTATTTGACCCTACTGATCTAGTTTTCCCATATGTAAAAGGATCATTGTTGTGAACACTTAGCATCGTGTCTGCCTGACACATGACAATAAATGCTACCTACTAATTTTAAATGGAAAGGCATATATTGCCAGCTAAGTGTTGCTTTCTAACTCCAGGAACTAGACAACACGATTCAGATACCACTTTGAAGGGACTGCTTACTTTCTCTTCCATACTTACATGTCTGAGAAAAATTCTGGCATGGTAATACCATATTTGCATTAATTACCATTTAAAAGTTTTTATCATACTTACATCTCACATTAAGAGTTCAAAATGATTTTATACAATTGTTAAATAGCATATTTAAACAAATATTATCTTTAGTATCTATTCTTCTGGGATTAATTATAATATTTAAGCAAAAATTGTCAGCATGTGAAGCCATTTATCACAGTGCTTCAAGCTAAAAGCACTGTAATGTTAAACTATTATTTTAGATAGGATCTTTTCAGTTAAAAAGAAAAAAATGTCCTTTTTGCAGCTAATTGCACTTTCCAATTACTTTAATGAAAATATCTTGCCAAGAAACATTTCTTTGATTATTAAGCTGGGTTTAGATTGTGCCTGAGTCACAAGGCACAGAGGTAATTACAGGTTAAAATCAATTTTGAACCTCTTTATAAACAAGAAACTGATTATAGAATAAATCTCATTAAATATAAAAAATTTGACATTGCATATTTATCATGTGTCACTCATGGCTGTGGTTCATGCAAAAAGAAATCAATTTGAAGTGAAGCATAAAAAGCCTATCATGTGCATTCTGGAATAAAGAATTACCTATACCATTTGGTATATTATCATTCACTTTCTCCATAAACCATTAAGACAATTAATTCCTAATTTATGAATGCTTTTTCCAGCATCAACTAGGAAAATAAATTTTTAGAAAGTTCTTAGGTAGAATTCAAAAAGATACCCATTACAGTGAGGCTAGGACACGTGTTTGTGCAGTTTGTTGCTATGTCCATTTTGAGGAAAGATCTGACTCTGGACTTCATTTGTACTGTTAGTAGGCATTTTTCTTAGCAATTAAATAGGTGTTCTTGGTTTTTGGAATTAGTTTACCAGTTTAAAATACCAATGTTAAAATAAAATATTTGGTCCATAGTCCTAATTAAACCTCAACCCACAAAAGCCAAATATTTATGAACAGCCAATACCAGCTAACCTCTAATTCTCACAGAGACAGCAAAGAACATCAACCAAGTTATTGTAGGGCGATAGTGCTTGGTAACCAACGGAAAAAAAAATCTCTCTTCAGAAGGCTTGTTTCTGTGAGTGAAGATGTTTTCCTCCCCGAAAATTGTGTTTAATAAAAATTGCAAGTGTTAAAAATGTACGAATAAAATCTATTCCTTAAATCTCTGAAAACATCTAGTCCAGAATCTATACAAACTGATCTTTATCTTTTCTTAGTGGTTAAGCCAAGGGTCAGCAAACTATTAAAACTTCAAGCCAAATCCAGGCATCCTGTTTCATAAATGCTATTGTATTGGAAGACAGCCAAACCATTCATTTATGTATTACCTATGGCTGGTTTTGTTCTGTGATAGCAGTTGAGTAGCTATGACACAGATCACATGGCCGTTAAAGCCTGAAACATTTACTATTCTGATCTTATAGAAATAGTTTGTCAACCTCTATTTTAAGTTCTTTTCATTAAAGGGGTGGGAGGAGAACTACTTAAGAACTATTTAAATTATGTTTGTATTACAAGGATGTAATTTTGTGTTTTCCTCTCTTCACAAAGATCCATACTTTGGCTTACATGAGTTGTGGACTACACAGGATAACTAAAGACTACTTACACTGCTTTTATACATTCATTAAAAAGCCAAGTTTAATTCTTCTGAAGTCAGGTTTATGGAACCATGGAAAATGGATGACAATAGCAAGCACCTCTTCAAAATAAACTTATTTACTCATACTTATCAACAATAAAAACTTTAATATTAGAATTTTCCAATTTTTCAAAATTAAAAGCTACAATGGCTTTTAAGACTACACGGAATTTTCTCAGATTATATACTGCTTATAAAATTCAATGTTAATGTGTTCATATTTCTTTCATCTCTAACCTAAGGGCATCCAAAGATTTTAACAATATCCTCTCCATCAATCCTACCTTTCCCAGTCATCCTTAATATTCAAGTCCCAATTTTTGACCCAATCTAGTAAAAGTTTGAAAGCATTTCTCCTTTTCGCAACCAAACATTTTTATGGTATCTATGCCTCTGAAGTAGTAGGGAGCAACTTTCAAAAGTATTGGCAAACCACCGCTAGGTGCAGTGGGATAAATGCTGATGATGCAGGTAACTGCAGAAAACAGAATTTACCTTCCTCTGACTTTCTCAAAACCAGGGAAAGATACATATAAATCCTGCACTCCTGATGTTATTTGTATGCTTGACTTGTACAGCACACAAATTTCTCTTTTCCACTAGTGTTCCATAAATAGTAAAATATCATAACTAACATTTTTCTAAATTTTCAAAATGAGATTTTCACACTATTTAATAGAAAAATAAAATTAAGCTACTGAACATGAGTTAGGCAAAAGTTTTTTCAATAAAATGTAGAAATATTTTAATTTACATATTACAATGAATCAATATGTAATCAAAATCCACAATTACACACTCATAAAAATTCCACACATCATCCTCAGAATAATCCATTTCTGTACAAAGATTTACAGATGTCCAAGTATGTAGTTTTTCTTCAATGTGCTACGGAGTTTAGAGGTTCTGCCCGAATATTCCCCAAATCAAGCGCAGAATCTGTTTCTTCATCAATTTCTCCAATGACTGCACTATAATTATTGATGGAGGAAAAAAGTCAGTTATAACAATCAAATTTTTGAAATAAATTTACATGGGTTTCAAAAATCTTACTTATTGATTCAAAGCATTTAGTTCCATTCTTCCAAAATGGAAAACAGAGAAAGCATAGTAAAGAGAACTAGTTAAGGTAAAATTAAGTATCTGCATGAGTCAATGAATTGTATATTTAAGTAACAAAACTTAAGAAGAAATAAATTGAAGGAGCAATGTTACAGGAACCAATAATAAAGGACAGATGGCAGTGTTTGGTTCATTGAGTCTTTAAAGGAAAAAGACACATGTGGGATAGGAAGGGTTTAAAAATCCAAAACTTCCAAATCTGATTTCAGTACAGTTCCATAACTGAATTGAAGAAAAAAGTTACTACTAAAATAAATTAGCTAACGTAAGTATTGATTACTTGAGTAATTTTGATGAACTATATCCATCTACAATACCTAATTTCTATTAGTTTCCTTTTTATGATTTTTCAGTTTCCAATTAAATCTAAGACATTTTTTAAACGTATAGTTCGTCATATACAAAGACAATAGTAGCAATAGGTACTCTGATATCTGAGAAATGATTTTTGATGTGACTGGCTAGGGTGAAGACCAGGAAATTTTTCCTTGTTCAACATATCATCTGTAACATTAAATTCACTAATACCTAGATAACCCACCCACGGCCCCCTGACTGGATAGAATCAGTGTTATCACCCACCATTATTCCATAAAAATTATTATTTTGGAAGTTTAAAATTGTTTGGTTTTAATGAGAGTAAATTCTAAAGATGAGTAATTATAATATAAAATTTGCCCAATTTGCTCTGGCAGAATATAGTTAGTTTTCTCAAAATAAAACAAATTAAAGACCTCAATTCTACTCCTAAGTATTTAATATCATTTAAAATCCTTATAAGTAGGTAGTAGAACACTGATGTTTTAAAAAGAGCTCTCTAGAAAAAAGGGAGCATTTATTAATATCTCTACTATGTAATACGCCCACGATGGTCAATTTCAAGCTACTAAGAAGATATCAATCAAACAGTTTGCCAAATTCCTGAAAATGTAACAATCTGTTTTCATAAGCTAGTACAAGCTGGTTCCAGCACACCACTAGGTCTAGGGCAAAGGTTTAAATGTTTTTAGCTGTTCTTTTAAAACTAGAAGAAATCTTCTTAAAATCAGTTATTATACATACCCCCCATTAGAAACAATCAGTGTTCTTCTGGTCAGGAGACCTGGGTACTATCTGCTTTGCCTCCTCCTCATTTTTCACAGTTCAGTTTATAATTCCACCTAAAAAGTCATCTCTATGGATTATTTTATAAAACCTTGATTATTTTTTTTCTTTAAGAGACGAGGTCTTACTATTTTTCCCAAGCTGACCTTAAACTCTTTAGCTTAAACAATCATCCTGCCTCAGCTTCATGAGTAGGTGGACATGCCAAATGCCCAGCTTTAAACTACCAATTTTAATTAATGATCAAATAATTTACTCATGTAAAGGTGTTTTGCTTAACACAAACAACTTGCAAAAAGGATTCCTTCATCTTTTATGCAAGATGTAGACATTAGTTCCAGTAGAATTAATGTCCTTTTTTGCTGGATTATGCTATTGTTCCATTACAGAATTACATGCAAATAATGCAAAGTATAAAGAGTATAATGCCTCTTTTCTATGAGCTGGTATTTATACCAATCTTTTACTACAAAATCGTAAGCATGGAATATCACAGTTGAGCACAAAATGACCTTACTTCTACCAAACATTGTATTTTGTTACCGTCTAGTCATATTTTAATAGAGTACTTACTAGAAAATTGATTCAAATTCTTCCAGCCTTTATTACTAGACTAATATAAGCTACATGTTAACTATTAAAATTAATTACAATTAAAACAAATTTTAAATTCAGCTCCTCAGTCACACAAATTACTTTTCAAGTCCTCAATGGCTAGTGACTACTATATTGGAAAATGCAGATATACAGCATTTCCATCATTACAAAAAGTTGTAGGCTTTTCTTAAATTACTACCACTAAAATACTCTCATATCAGTTTATCAGTATGTCCCAGGTTACTGAGGCCACAGGACAAACACTGAATATCTTAAGTGTATCAATGTACTAAAAAATTAAAGTGTTAGACAAGTCCTTGTTTATAAATACAGCTATATTATAGAATATGAATTATTAAAATTTTACAAATTAGAGATTTCAAAACCATTTTCTAGTTTCGGGCTCTAGGAATGTAGTTATGCTCCTCTGAAATTCAGGGTATTTAGAAGACAGTTACAAGAAGCCTCTCTCCAGGCCAGGCACAGTAACCCACTCCTGTAATCACAGCAGTCTGAGAGGCTGAGGAGGGTCAATTGTTTGAGATCAGGAATTCAAGACCAGTCTGAGCAAGAGCAAGACCTCATCTCTACTAAAATTAGAAAAATTAGCTAAGTGTTGTGGTGGGAGCCTGTAGTCCCAGCTACTTGGGAGGCTGAGGCAAGAGGATCACTTGAGCCCAAGAGTTTGAGGCTGCTGTCAACTACGATGATGCCACAATACTCTACCCAGTGCAACAGAATAAGGCTTCCTGTCAAAAAAAAATGAAGTATTTGGTATAAGGCAGGGCCCCTTCTGAACCCTATCCAGGATACCTATCAGAAATACAGACAAATTTCAGGTAAAAGTAAAGAGAAGGCTTTGGTTGGCACCTGCAGAAACACCAGAAACACCAACATGAAATGTATAGAACTGCTTAACTATAAGCAAATATAAGAAAAGCCACATTCAGAAAACAAATGCATGCATGATTCCATTAACTCTGTATGGTAGATATATTATGATTATTTTGAGGACAACTTCTTCCCTATAAAGAAAGGCAATACACCTGTAGTATAATTTTAACTGCCTTAAAAGAATGTATTTTACTTACACATTGTCACCTCTTACGATGTACAATCCTAGCACCACTTGCTCTACTCCTTGTGAAGAGCTGAATACTCGTTCATGGCTTTCATCCAAAATCAAATTAATGGTCTGGTCAAAACCTTTCAGTGTTCCCTATAAAGAAAACATCCAGGGGCAAAAGGGATATACTCTGATTTACCTGAATGTATAAACTCAACCCTACCATCATTTTACTTGTCACATACTCCAATAGAAGTATCTATTTGAAATACAACTCCAGAGTCAAATAAAATGCCTTCTTTATAACTAACAGCATCTCAAGACACAAAACTTACTCTTCATTGTTTAAAGGAGGAAAAAAAGCTACAGTACGTATCTAACTAGTACGCAGAGTTGTTGAGATTTACAAAGGACACCCTAGGTACTAGTGTATTTTCAAGTATCATAAAAGCTTGTATAGCCCAGAAGCTAATATTTTAAACACACAAAAGGGAAATTTAAAGGAACATGATTCATACATAGATAAATAAGGAGAAACCATTCATACCAACTATAGCAATGTAACAGTACCACTGAATGCTACACACTAGTTCTGAGTATTTGTTAAATACACCGCACATGTCATCTCAACTACCCTGTCCCCTTCAAGATAATACTACAGTTGTCCCGTCAAAGGAAAACCAAGACGCAGAGTAGTTCTCTCAAGGTCTCATGTGAAATGAGTAGCAATGCCAGGATCTGAACCACAAAAGGCCAGACCACTGAACTACTGCATTATACTACCATAAACCAGTAAAAATAATTTGGCATTTTTCAGAGATTCAAATTAGTTCCATAAATACATAAAAACTTCAGCTGGTGGTTACAGGTAACATTTAATGAGTCCTTACTAGTTGTCAATATTCTGTGTCTCACATGTATTTATTATTTAATGTATATTACATGTATTTATTATTCAGTTTCCCAAATAACCCAATAAGGTAGATCCAGCTATGACTGTAATAATTAGAAACAGGATTTGAAGAAAATAACCAGGATAACCAGGAACAGTTTTATGAAAACAGCTTGGTTTTGAATAAAGGAAGACATAGGCTTAGCATTACCCAGTAACTCAAATTATATTCAAGTTTCTCAAGAAACATCAGCTGGTATTGATTTGGGTTGGTTAAATCTCTCAAGAACACTGTTAAACTGTTTATGTTCTGAAAATCAAAATACATAAAATCAGACTAAAATAAACAGAAACGTAGAACCTAGAATTAGTAAGAGAAACAAAATATGGAATATTTACTGTACTTGTCAGCAAACGGTTGTTATCATGAACAACCATACATAACCTCTTGGAGTCATTCTACACTTAACTACTCCATCAAGGGCACTACATGTCAAAGAAATACAAAACTACTGAATTTTAGCATTCAAGATACTTTTTATATTGCTTTCCTTCTATAAAAATTAAAAATAATTCCCCACTTTGTTATGTACCCTCTTAAAAGCAAGAAAATGTAAACTTAAGGTTTCCACTATATAAAAAACTATTTGCAAATATCTGTTAACAGCAATAGGCTTCTTAAAGTGTTGAGATTAAAATATTTCAAACTGCCCATAGTTGACAAAAATATAATGTGAGGTGCCTAGAAAAGCCATCATTGCTTCCTTAATTAAGGAAGAAGCAAGGCAACTGGCTTTGGTTTTAGAGTCAGAATTAATTTAAATCCTAGTTTGGTTCTGTCACTTGTTATTCTTATGACTTTGGGAAAGACTCACTTTCTCTGCGTTTTGTTCCCATCATAGAATACAAGGGAAATTCTTCTTCACAAGGTTATATCACACATTAAATAATGTAACACATATGTACCTGGTACATGATATACTTTTAATAACTTTGGCTAGTAATAGTCATTATGGACCCACTGGAAAAGAATCACAAGGATTAAAAACAAAAACAAAAATGTAGAACAGGAAAATAAGGGATTAAATTATCTGAAAACATGAGGTAAGGTTAGAAAGAAGAGAAAGTTCAACAACATTAAAACTTCTTTGAAAGCAATCACAGTATGAATTATAAATAAATAATCAAGTAGCCAAAAAACATGAGATAAATTCCTCAGATCAAATTCCAAATAAAAATATCAACCATAGGAAGGTTTTACGTTTGTTGTATGAGGTAAATTACCAACTGTGAAATGCCTTTAAGAACAGATCAAAGATACATAGAGAGTTACTCATTATGTCTTAAGAGAAAGCAGAAATCATTCAACCTTAAAACAGAGAATATCAAGACCATATAGGTCCTAAATGCTCATATCTTTAAAAAGTTTCTAAGTTAGGCGGCACCTGTGGTTCAGTGAGTAGGGCGCCAGCCCCATATAGCAAGGGTGGTGGGTTTAAACCCGACCCAGCCAAACTGCAACAACAAAAAAATAGGGCACTGTGGCGGGCGCCTGTAGTCCCAGCTACTTGGTAAGCTGAGGCAAGAGAATCACTCTACCAAGGGCGCAAAGTGAGACTGTCTCTAAAAAAAAAAAAAAGTTTCTAAGTAGATACAAATTTTCAAAAAAATTATGAATCCTGTGGCATATGTCAGAGCACTGAGTGGGGAAGGAAATAAAAAATGGAAACGTAAATGAAGTACAGACCTGCAGACTAGACTAGGAGCTCTCTGGGGGCATAATCTATTATTCCAGCTCCTAGAAGCATTAAGTAACATATTTATTAATGAAGAAAACATGGATTGCCAGCAAAGAGCTAAGAGTTGAATTATAATAAAACTGCAACTCTGATACTGTGGTGCCTACATATTAGAGATCTTAGGTTCTACATAAAAATTTATAACCAACAAAGGCTACAAGAAAGCAGAGAATGAAAATGCCAAAGACTTACCACAATCATTCTTCCATCAGAAGTAATAACGGCAACAGTTCCTGACAATTGAATCAAGGAAAGTATTTCTTAGAGAATGTGAACTTAAGACTCTGGTTAAGTCAGTGAGTTGAACTACTAGAAAAAAGTAACACAATTAGTGGGTAAGTACACTACAGCCACTATATAAAAAAGTCTCGGACTATTGTGTCCTCATTACACAATTAAAAACATTTTTAAAAGACAAGAAAAAGAAAATTCTTTATGTGCAATTAGCATACCCTGTCTCAAAACAAGTTGAATTTTTTAAACTTTTTTTTTTTTAACTAGGAACGTCGGCAATCTATGACTTTGGGCAAGATAATTCCCCTTTTCTTAAGCCCGTTTCTTCATTTCTCAATGAAAATTGGATAAGTCTAAGTGAAATCAATGTTGGATGATTTCAGGCCTGTTAAGACACTTGTCTCAGAAGCTGGCTTCCAGAATTCAAAAGCAGCTACAATCAATGTCAGAAAGTACCAATAACGTTCACATCACTTAAAGCCTTGGGCATGTTAACTTCTGTCACCAATGTGTACACGAGCCCAATGCACTGTTTTTCTCCTAAGACTTTAACATAGTATCTTTGTACTTCAAGACTCCACAAGGTTTTAAACTGCTCGCCCCTCCCTATAATCCATTACCACAACAAACACTGTTTCCATTTTACCAGCAAGTCGAGACTTCAAGTGGTAAGGAGGCAGAAATTCAATTTGTGAAACACCTTTAACATTTTGCTATCCTCGAACAATGCAAAGCCTGTAAGCAAAACCAGGACAAAGATTTACAAAACCATCGTCGCCCCTATGGTAATTGTCACACTTGAACATACAGGTCCTAGGAAAGTGGCAAAAACGAATCAAGAGCATACATTTTATAGAGAGAAAAGTTCGGAATAATTACACTGTGTTTTTACTTTTATATTTTTATAGGGTAAAAGTAAGAAGCCTTGGGCCCGGTCTGTCTCCTCCCCGCGTCCCGCAGCCCCTAGCCGCTCCCGGATCCTCCCGCGCCCGCGAGTTCCAACCGAACCCGGCCTCTCCCGCACCGGCGCCGCTCCTGTGCGGACATCGGCCTCGCCGCCGCCCCGGCCAACGCCCGCGCCCACCAGCCCGAGGATACGGTTGATGTAGTTCTCCAGGGCGGACGTCATGCTGCTCGGCCCGGCAAGCCCGGGCTTTGGAGCGGCACCGGTCACCAGCAAAGCTGAAAGGGCCCGCCAGAAACACACGGCAGCTCGCGCCGGTAGGCGTCAGCAAATATCGCGAGAGCTTCACCACCGGCCGGGAGTCGGAAACGGAGGAGAAAGCGCCAACCAACCAGAGGCGGTGTAGCGGCGACGAGGTAGCGCGCGTGCGCAGTGTCATTCCGGGAGGCGCTCTGGCCGCCGCGAGAGACAGGAGCGAGAGGTGGAAAAAAAGGAGAAGCTTCTTGAAGGTGGAGTGGGAGGGAGAAGTCGAGTTTGCTACCGGAGTGACAAGCAAAGTGGTAGACGTTAACAAGGAAAGATGTTGCGAAAAGACAGGGCAGGTAGGAAGAAACGGAGTGCTGTTTTCATTACGAGTACAGGAGAGACGAGTGCAGTTCTCGTAGGGAAGGTAGGTGCAGGCGGAGGAATCCCTAGTTTGTGCAGCTCGAGGCAAAGATAAAAACTAAGAAGACAGTGGCCTGGGACAGGGTTGGGCACGTTGTACGTGTGTAGAGCATTCAGCTGAAAACCATGTTCTTAACATTCTGCGTTTGTTTCTAATGGTGCTCCAAAATGGAGGCGTTATTACTTGTTGGAAAAATTAAATCGACGTAGGGAAAGGTGTGCACGCTTACGGGGTCTCTCTCTCCTCAGAGTGAAATGAATAAACTAAAGGCTGCTGCACTGCCATGAAGGGCCGGATTCAGGACGGGTCTTGGAAAAAAGCACCAAACTGAGTTCTAATCTTGGCCCTGCTAAAACAATTTTGTCCCTGCACATTTAAGAGTCATTTAAACTCTTCTAGGCCTCAGCTGTCTTAGGTTCTATTACAGCATTCATTTTTTATTTTCCCAGATATCTAAACGCTACTAGAAAACACCAGAGTTCCTCATGTTTTTTAACTGAAAAAGGACTTGAAATTAGGGGTTTATACACAAAGCACAAGCAATTTGATTTTTTTTTTTTTTTACAAAATATCTTTTGTGATTTCAGGTAGACATGTAATTTTTTAAGTAAGGAATTATGGCTTTGAAATAAATTGTAATGCCAGCAGTTTTACTCTGGAAAGTAAAGCATTTCTTTTCATTAGAGCATACCCACAAAACTACTACAAGACAAATCCCAAGTGGTTAATATTTTATACAGTGAAACTTACTGTGACCTCTTTGAAACCACAAATAGGAATTAGGTTGTAAATGTTCTATATTTTCTGGGAAGCAAATACAAGCACCTTCCATAAATGGAAAAACTGATGCTGTGTGATTTTCAGATTTTAGGTGTTAAACTAAAAGAACACCAAAGTACTAATTAATGAACAGTGAGGCACTATTAATAAAGAGTTTTAAAAAATAAAACCTCCATGCCACCTTTTAAAAATGAATTATCTGTATAGTTTTTCATCCCTTTTAGAATGTGCTTGTTCATTAACATGTGGTAACTCATATAACAGATTTCATCAATGCATTGTAAGTATGTTCCTGAATAGTTTTGTTAAATTAATATGCAAGGTAAAGAGCAAATGGCAGTGTTCATGGAGCAACACAAAATCTTTGGTCTGAAATTTTTTTTTATATGTGGCCTAAAACTTATGTTTCGTTTAGTCCCTGGAGATCACAGATGTGGAGGAAAAAACCTATAGATGAAGAACATTTAACTTATTAAGACAAAAAAAAGAGTTACATTTGTATGCAAACATTACTTATATAAATACAACATCTGACAACTAAATTAAGAAGAGATACCATGAGTCTTTCAAGCTTAATTCAAATAAAAATCTCTCAAGAGTTCTGCTTATATGAATGATGCTCTATCACTGATAAAGCATCAACCAAAGTTGCTCAGAAAAGGCTATCATTTTATTCCATTTGTTCTGAGTGTAGATTGTGAGCAGAAAACATTAACCTGAAGGATCAGGTTCCTACTAGAATCTGAGAAAACTGAACTGACTCTTCTCTGAATAGTTGATGGAAAACTATCACAATAGCAATTCAAAAATTTTTAACCTAATATGATAGGAGCTTCTATTTACTTTTATTTTTGACTGATACATTCCTACATGTTGCAAGGGTGTCAACAAATCAATAATATGTATTGAGTAGATCTATATATGGTTCTCCTAGGTAGAAAAATATATACGTAAATCATGGTCTGTCCTTGCAAGGAAATTCTTAAATAGTAACAGAGCTTTAATTATAAATGTGAAATGATTAACACATGGAAAAACAGATCTCAAATTATAAATAAATTGATTTGGAAATCTTAGTTCATTTAACACTCCAGATTACAAAGTGCTTTTTATATATTTCATTTAGTGTAATAAAGATAGGTATTTTTAATTCCATTTCTTAAGGGATAGAAAAAAATCAAATATGTATAACTGACTTGTTAATTGAAAAGTAGTTTAGGAGCATAATTGGGAACCCTGTCCCAAAAACTGTCTAGATTTTTATTCTGTGTGACTTTGAGCAAGTTACTTAACCTTCTATACCTCTGTTTCCCCATCTGAAAAATGGACAAAATGATGGTATTTCATTAGCGTTTTGGGAACTAATAGTAATTTTTATAGGGCCTGTTATATAATAAGCACTCAATAAATGTTATTGTTTGCGGATGTAGACTACATCATAGATAACTTTTTTTCTTATTTTTCTTATTCCAGTGCTCATTCCAATACAATAAATTTTATTCAGTGCATTTTTTATGAGCAGTATAGATTTTAAATGCTTAAAAGGGGAAAGATGAACGAGTTAGATTCAGAATTTTAGAAGGTTTCACAAAAAAGGTAAGACAAATTGGGACTTGAGAAAGGTATACATATACTTTTTGAAACAAGATTAAAAAGGTAGCAGGAGTCTAGGTGTATCTGATTTGTAGCAATAAGAATGGAAGAGCAGAAACAATGTGATTAAAAGACAGAGGTTAAGAAATTCACGTCTGTAGTTAATAAGGCAGATAGCAAATCCTGGGTGGTATAGTAATAGTGGTTGGTGAATCAGAAGGCTAGGAGAGCATGGAGACACTGGAAGACAGGACTTCTTGGTAACAAAGTAGATGGGGCCAATCTGTAGAAATATAGGCATGGCATATGTTGCTCACTAGCCAGTGGTGGGGCCACAGAATAGACTAGTTATACTTGCAATGGCATACACTTTACCTTAAAGGGCTAGAGAATCACTCTGTCTCTGTAGTCCCACTGTTTCAGTTCATAAGGATAATATATTAATAAAATACTTAAATATACTTTCATGCATTCTTTATAGTATTTTTAAGGTTATTTGAAAAAAAAATTTTCTTGGCCAACATGTCCTCAGATCCTTTCCTTTTTACATTATTTTTAGTTTAAAAACTATTAGTCTTTTCATGCTGCTATTACAAAATACCTTCACTGAGCAATTTGTAAATAACAGAAATTTGTTTCGTAAAGTTTTGGAGACTAGAGAGTCCAAGATCAAAGTTCCAGCAGACAGTTTGATGAGAGTATTTAAAAATGTACATGAAAACAGCACATTGTACCCCATGATTGTATTAATGTACACAGACTATAAGAAATAAAAAAAAAAGTGCCAGCAGATTTGGTATCTGGTGAGGGCCTGTTCTTCATAGATGATGACTTCTTGCTGTGTCCACACACAGAGGAAGGGGGCAAGGCAGCTCTTTTCAACCTTTTTATAAGGATACTAATTCCTTAACCTTCTGACCTAATCACTTCCCAAAAGAACCCACCCTCTTAATACTGTGATATCGGGTATTGGGTTCCACATGTGAATTTGGGAGGAAAACACCAACACTTAGACTATAGCAGAAACCAAAAAATGAAAACACAAGAATTCTGACTATAATACATATATTACTGAAAATACTCACATTTTTTAAAATGACTTACTTAAAATAATAGAGCTTAAGTTAAAAAATAGGTCTGGGAAAGACCTCTCAAACCCTGAACATGGAGCAGTCGTGCCTGCACTTCAATAGTAGGTCACTGTTACCACCTGGTGATCTTTAGAAACTACGTATGTCTAATTCCCACACTCAGTCTGAATTAAATGGTATGGGGGGAGAAGCGTCTCAGGATTCTGAAACATCCCTAGGTAACTAAGGCAGCAAAATTTGGCAACCACTGAATTGTAGCATGAGCAGACACAGTAATCCAAATGGAAATATTAGCTCATTTAAAAGGACATGTAAAATTTCTTACAAAGAAATGCTATAGTGACAGAGGAAATGTTTTTTTAAAAGTTGAAGTTAGCTTAAAGAATAACAGTTGAAGTAGACCTTGTTAAATGATGGCAGCAGAACATCACCGCTAGAAGTTTCAGGTGGAGAAGCAGGTGCAAACTTTGCAGGAAATTTAGAAACACCAGAGATAGACGGCTCTGACTCACTGTCTGATGTTGCTTTTGTGCAAAGACCTAAAAGAATTGCAAAATAAGCACTATCAAAATGGAGCACATGGCTGAACCAAATCCAGGAGAGAACAGGGTGTCACACAGTGACAGGCTGTTATTTGAGTGCTGTTTTTTTCCAGGTCTGGTATAATCATGTAATCACCCGTGTTACTTTTACTTCTGCTATTGTGTCTTTGTAGTTACGTATTAAGTATGAACTGTCCCACCTTTCACATTATTCTAACATTACTCCCCTATTTAACAATCACATGTGAGGTGATATGTAATATAAAAAACAGTGCTTTAGCCCCACAGACTATGTTAGTATACTGAGGATCTGGACTGTAAATATGGTTAACCTGTCCCTATTTTACTTATTTCCTCCTATGGTCCATACTCTTGTTTCAGCACCCAGTAATTTTGAGGGGTATGCAGTTCTTATATCTTTGAGTTTATCCTAGAAGGGTACTTAAATTCATACCACTTGGGACAGCTTTACTTAGCACGTAAGTGTATGACTAATCCAAATAGATAGAGCACCCACACGAGAACATTTTCAATAGTTTTTTAAAAATGAATTACAATGTTTGTGTTATCACTATGGCAAAGAAGATTAAGGAACATTATATTTAAGCTGAGTGTGTTTGCTTGTTTTTTTGTTATTGTTGTTTTGCTTTGGCTTCTAAAGATTAGTTACCATTAGTGGCTTGGATTGCAGTACAGGTAAAATTATATTGTCCTTTTCATTGTGATTTTGCTATGCCCAAATTGGAAAACAATATTGATGGCAGAAATTATTTTAACTTAAGTCTCCAAGATCTTCGACCCTAACTCATTCCTGAGTAGTATAATCCACAATGAAGGGATAGATTGATTTATACTTACCGCTGATACTATGTGGCAAGAGAGAGCAAAGCTAATTTATGGATTTCTTCAGGAAAAAAAAAAGCTGTGGT